CAGAAACATCACCTGCTTCAGGTACAAGAACAAATCAACTTCGACCAGGAAACCTTCAAAACAGGGGCTCTGCAACCTTAGCTTTAAGAATAAATATTGACGTCAGTCTCAAAGACCACTAGACATTTTTACAGTGAAATTTTTTTGGAGACTGCTGTTACATTTATTTCACTAGCAAGCAATAACATGGAAACTCAGATGCAAGTGTGGCTGAGATATATATACTATGATTTCAAAGTGATTTACAGTAGCAGTATCAGGAATGAGGAAAAACAGCTCTGAACTTGGTTTTCATCTTTTGGAATTTTATGAAATTTCCTTCATATTGAGGGAGGGTGCACCGTTTGTAAACCTTCCCTTGAATTCACAGGGAGGAACTACATTTACAACCTGGCCTAAAGCAGCCGGTGGGCACCATCTCACCCAGCTTTGGTTCCTCCCAAATGCCATGCCCATTGAGGGCTTCACTGACCCTTTATGCTCAGAGGGAACAGCAGGTGTGTGCCTGCTCAGCCTAGGACAGGAAAGGGATGGTGTAAGCGCCATGTGTCCGTGAAGTTGACACATTTTCCTGGAAAATGTTGACTCCCCATGCTCTCATTATGATTGATGGCCACAGGGCTTTTTAATAAAATTATAGGTGATGAATTTAATTCAATTCAGAGAGGTCAAACGATCAGCCTTGACTTAAGATTCAAATAGTAAAGCACAGAGAACAAATGCACATCATCACCACCCATCCCAGCCTCGGTGGAAGTGAGCTGGGGCTTTGGCGCCATCTTACTCTAAACAAAGGGCAAGGAGCCCAGGAAGTCAGAATGTCAATGTCTCTGTCATCAGGTTGGGTAATTTTATTAGCTCTCTTGCAAATTTTATCAACCCGTGTTAGTACACACTACCCCGCGGCGCCACCAGACGCCCTACTTCCCTTAGCCTTGCCCATGAGGGGCATGCATCCTTTGGGACACAGTGTCATTTGTGGAAGTGAGGTAGGACTCACAATCTCCCAGGGTTATGTTTAAGTAGAAAGAGGTGTGTGTGTGTGTGTGTGTGTGTGTGTGTGTGTGTGTGTGTGTGTGAAAGAAGAGAGAGAGAGGGACGCGAGCCGAGCGCGCGCGCGCACGCGCGGTGCCAAAGAGACAATTTTAGCAATTTTAGAGGTGGCTGCCCCCCTGGAAGCCTTTGTACAAGTCCATTACGTCCTCTTCTGCCACCTCGGCTTTGAGCATACACGCGAGGCATTCGCTGTGGAAAGCAGGAGGCAGACTCCAGTTCCCTCTCAGAGCACGGACTTGTAGTTTAGCCTTTGCCCCTTTATAAAATATATATCAGGAATAAAACGGCGGCCTATTAAAGGCCACGATCAGAACCTATAAAAATGTTGGGAGCGACTTCGAAATATTTCCAAACACTACTATTTTAATACACAACGGAGAGTTATTAAGCGGCTTCTTGGTGAAGCGAGCATGACTTCCGCAATCATCAAAAATTGATATGTACCGCTAGTAAAGTAATTATGCGCCATCCTGAGGATAAGGGAGCGGGCAATTGTTAATCCACTTGCACACCCGTTGACTTGCAGCATCAAGCTGCAAATAGCTTAATTAAGTCATACACGTGGACTATAACCATATTGCTCCGTTGCTTTATGCACACTATATCTCAATTTATTGGGACAATGAATGCGAAGCTCCACCTCGGGCGGGTACGCCATCCACCCTGTGCCCAAGTTCCTTTCGATTGATACTTGTGCAGAAAGCCAGAACCCATCCAGAAAGCCAAGGACAAGTGAGAATTAAGAGAGAAAGAGAAAGATGTCGGATGGGGGTGGGGTGGGATTTGTGAGCAAACTTTGGCCCACCGGAGCTGTTGGAATGGGGGGCGTCATAAAAGCAGAGCCAAAAACGAGGGCTTTGGACACACCATGATTCATCATGTCTGAGCTGGTCACTATAGGCAGGGGGAGTCCCCAATAGTTTTATTATAATTGTAAAGTACAAAGCAAAGCCTATTAGTCTTAAGGAATCTTCAGCCCCGAGGGGAAGGGGTCTGTTAGAACAGTTACTTAAATCCACCTGACCCCACAAGCATCAATTGGCTACCAGCAGTTTGTTTGAGTTCCGACTACAGAAACCTTCGGGTTAAACCAAAGCACCATACCACTATGTACAAATGACCAAGACCCAAACTTCCGACAGGAAATTCCTCTTTCCCATTTCCTTTTTGGGAGGTGTAAAAATATTCAAGGTGAAGAGCCGCTGGAAATGCTGTCACGGGCTCTGGAAGGAGCCTTGGCGACAGCAAGGAGTGGACAGAGAGGGGGAGGCAACTTGACAGAGGGTCCAGCTGCCTCCAAAGGTGCGAAACTCTGAGAGCTCCGGTCGGAGGCTGACTTTGGTACCCACCCATTGAGGTCGTGGGGAACCTGAACTCCTTATACTAGGATACCAGGCAGTGCCCTAATTTGAATCTGAGGAGTGAGATACCCAAAGGAGACAAACATTGACAGGAAGTCTAGTCCTCATGGGCCCCTCAGACCCGGTGGAGATCAGAAATTGACCTTTCCACACTTAAAACGTCACAAATAAATGGGGGACTCCAAAGCGGCCGTCAAAGGGCTTCTCATAGATTTGCCACTAAACGCTGGTTGAAGCAGGCTAGCCTCACATCTTGTGGGGTTTTAGCACGGTTGCCCCCAAAGATGGGGCCATTGACTTTGATAGCAGATTTCAGAGGTGTTATCTTGAATTCCCAGCTACTGCTATGCCTCCTTCCTCCAGGGTCCGGGAGCAACGGGGGCTGCGACTTGCATTCAGGGACCGCGCCCCATTCCCCCGGCCCCCAAACCTTTGCAGGTCAGCTTTTAAGAAGGAAGATGTCTTCTCCCGGCATCCTCTGCGAAAAATAAAAATACGTGAGCGGGAAAACCGAGGTGTGAACTTGGGGTGTGCTGGGCTGACCCTCTCAGTCTCCCTGGCATCTTTCTCCCGTTCTTTCCCTGGGTTGTTTTTCCTTCACTTCCAAAAGGTAGAAAAGCAGCGTCTCGTCTTTTCCAGAAGGGCTTCTCCAACTCAGCTTTGGAGGCTTGTTTTCAGGGTCAATGCGCCTTTAAGGGACCAGGGTTGAGGATACTTCATGTCTTCCCCGAGATACCTGGGGTTCTGCAACCTGCCCAGGAAAAGGAAAGGAGCGGCCAGGCACTCAGTGGAAGTGGGCTGGCGCGAACGGGGAGAGCTGGTCCCATTCCTGAATAGTCCAGATCTCTGCCAGCTCCAAGGATCCCAGACTGGACGCATCTGGATCTTCAGAGGCAAGACAGTGAGGACGTGGGTCTGGAGAATCACTTATTGTGAGCTTATGCTATGAGGTACCCTCAAGGGCAAAGCCTATGTCAGCATTTACAACAAAAGACAAGAGCAGTAGCATCAGCTTAAGTATTTATCGAGCACTTTTTATGCCCGTTTTGTACTCACAGTCCTATTTCAAGCAAACGAACAAAAAACAAACAAACAAAAACCGCCACCATTTGAAACAGGTTCTATTTCTGTGCCCATTTTAGAGATGAGGAAACAGAGTTGTAGTTTGAAAGACAGTGTTCAGGGTCCCTCAGCCGGGAAATGACAGAGCCGGTATTTGGAGCAGATTGCCATCAAAGGGCCCACTGTTCTTCCCTGGTTTGCCTCTGCCCCTTTGAGAAAGCTGGGGTAGTCAAGGTACTGTCTGCCCTTTCTTGGCGCGGCAGGCTCCCCGAAGTCGATACAACTCTAGTGTTAATCTTTGCTCCCCAGGATCCGGCCCTTTTCCCCACACAGGCCCCCCAATCCCCTGCAATCGGGGGTGGGGGTGGTATCTTCCAGGTTTGGACGTGCGTTGGCGGGATCCAAATCTTCAATCCGTCTGAAAACCCGCCCCTTCACCGCACCCAGTTCTCCAGCCAGTAGTGCGTCAGTCAGGCTAGGGTGGAGACCATCCGGAGGACTTCCCGGAGGTGGTGGCCAAACTCGTTGACCCGACTAAATCTTTTCAGGGCCGATGTTAAAGAGTAGTAGCCTCAGTAGCTTCAGGCCCTTCCTTCTATCTGGAAAAGAAGAGCTCCAGGTGCTGTAATCGTTTATTACTCCTCCACCTCCCCACCCCCCACGCCCTATTTGTTTAACAAACATCTGACTCCAAGAATGCAGCTCAAGAAGGATGCACATTAATTTCACAGTTCCCACGGAACCTCTGTGGCCACACCAATCTGTGGCTCTCTGACCCCGAAGAATGTTACAGGGAACCCCTAAGAAATTTACCGAGAATACATTGCTCTGTGGGTTGGGAATGCAAGGGAGGGATCTACAAGGGTACAAGGCGGAGTAGTGAGCCAAACTCTTCTGATTTTCCGCGGTGGCAGCGAGGTAGGGGTGGGGAGTGAGGTGGGGTGGGATGAACATATTTGCACTTCTATTCCAAAGCTTTAGTTGTCCCGAGACGTCAAAGGCCGGTGGCATTTGAACCAAGAACCTGACGAAGGCCCGCAATGAGCGGGGCCTACCGCCTTCACAGTTTGCTTTGCTCCGCGCTCAAAAGTTTAACTCTTTTATCAAAGGGGAAATTGAAAAGTGACTTCTGGAAATCCTAAGATGGGGTCTCACCAACAACTTCTGGGGTGGGGAGAAATGTGGGGGACCAAAAGGGAGGTGAAAAAAAGAGCGGGGAAATCAATTGGGAAAGAAAAAAAAAAAAAAGATACACGCGGGATTAAATAAACTAAGAAGCTCAGCCGGCGAATTCTAGATCTGGGTTTTGAAACCAAGAGGGTCCCTCTACCTTTGGCCATCTGGCTGTTTTAAGCTCTGCCCCATGCTGTATGATTTTAGCTGAAAATCTCTTCCGTTGCAGCTTCTCTTTTATTGAATTCATCAAAAGCAAACTTTCCCTGAGTTTTTTTTTTTTTTTAAGACGGCTAAAATAATACGCCGACCACTGTGACATTCTCCGCGCCCAGGCCATTTTTCATAACGCCGCGGATCCGCTTTTGTGCCTCTGAGGCGACTAAACAGATGAATAACGAGCAAAGTCTCCCGAAAGTAAGCTAGCAGCTTTTCTCAGCTCTAAAAAAGTTAACTGAAATGAGAGGTGCATGTAAAAACCCACACCCAAAGATGGGGCCACACTTTTATTACTCTGAATGACAACGACGTCTTTTTAAAAGCAACTAACTCCCACACTCACACACGCGCGCGCGCGCGCGCGCGCTCACACACACACACCAGCACACTTGCTCACACAAACTACACAAACTTTAAGCCTTGTGAAGCGTGTTTTGGAAATTTTGGTAAAGAAAGAAGGAAGGAAGATGTATTTGAGGCAGATTTCTAGCTGGCAAGAGGTGAGAAGGGTAAAACCCGGATTTATTTAGTTTTAGATTTTTTTTTGTTTTGGTATTTTTTGTTTGTTTTTTGTTTTGTTTTGTTTTGTTTTTGTTTTTTGTTTTTTGTTTTTTTTAGCCGCAGCTAGTTTGAAAGTTGGTTTCTGGCAAGAGGCAAGAAAAGGCTGCAGCACTAAAGGAAGAATCAAAGTGTTAAAGGACGCTCAAAATGTAGTATTGTGGCAGGTCGGGGTAAGTTCCTTTTTTTTATCCCCCCCCTGTTTTCTCTTTGGTTTTGGAACACAGTAAAAATGCACTTCGAGTCGAGTTTTCCTGTTGTTTGTAGGAGAGAGAAAGTGTGGCCGCCTCCAGCGACTTTGCTCTGGTTTTGCGAGTGTTTTACAGCGAGGTGCTTTCTTCCCGAGCCCTGTCGTCACAATCCCAGAGGCCCGCGAGCCCTGAGTGCTGGGGTTTGGAGAGCCACGCTCCAGCCACAGAGGCAACAAGTCACGGACTCTGGCTCCGGGCAAGCGCCGCGCCGCTCCGCAGCTGGGCCAGTGGCTCGCCAGAATCTCAGGAATGAATATCGCACGTGTAAAAACTACTGGCTTGTGGACGCGCACAGCTGCGACCCCCGGGTTTATCAGAGGAAAAAACTCTTCCCTTAAATGGACGGTTTGGAAAAACCCAGCCATTGGTTCTCGCCAGATGATTATCGATGCAAAGTAAACCCTAGGGCTGGAGCGCGCGCGCGTTTGTTTAACCCTAAAAGTATTCCACTTCGGAGTTCCTCAAGTTGACATCCACTTGAAATCGTTTTGTATTTTTTCCTTCCAGGGGCTAGGAAAAGAACTAGGAGTGATCTGTGGGAGATGATGTAGACATATTAGTGTGGGAAGCCTATTTCCCCGGAAAGCAATGCCCTGTGTTCGCTGAACTGCAGGAAAGTGGCCCCAAAGAAACTCGAAAGGCGGTTCCGTGCGCGCGCATACGTTTCCACAGACGTGTGTTACGAATGCGTAGCTATATACACTTCCCTGTCACTAACCTGAGGCTCTTGGATTCGGTTCAGTGGTATGAATACTGTTGATGGTGCGCTGTGTATTTCATGGCATGGATATATGGGCGCCTGCGCCGAGTGGTCGTTCATTTAAGCGGCAAACAGCGACCTGCAAACGTCCGCCGTGAGCCAGATTTTATTTATTATTAGTTCTTCCCTACTCAGGAACGTGGAATAAATACGTGCTGCGCCAAAGATTGGGCAGAGCCGATCCAGATGTTGGCAAACGCGACCTTGCCAGTTGTTTCTGAGAGAGCCGAGAGAGAGAGAGAAATTGACAAGGGAGTTGATGGTGGATCGGAGGCGATTTTGTTCATTAGCAGGCGCGACTTCTGCGCCTGGGTCTGGCGGGGCGAGCATATAAAATGCAACTTTTGCCCCATTGGTTCGCTAGGTGAATTAGCGCATACTGGGACTGAACAGTCCTTGACCTTTGCCTTTATGTTTGCGCAAATGTTTGCCTAAAACACAATCGGCCTTGACAAGGGAGCATGCTACCGTGTGACACCGCCTATTCACCAGATAGATGTTCCCTGCCACACACGACCCAGAGCAGCCTTTTAAATAGCTTAGGTATTTGTACAAACCGTATAAATTAATGTCGGATGATTGCTAGTTGCTAGTTAAATAGAAGACAATTTAGACGTGGATACACATCCCTCTTTAGTCTTTTTCTTTTTTCTTTTTTCCTTTCTTTCCCAAAAGTCGGTAAGATGACCAGGAAACACAGCTGGTACTGGAGGAAAGTTTATGTTTAGGGGGGAGGCAACAGATTCTTGCCGATAAAATGGGCACAAGAATGCAGTTCCCTTACGAATGACTTTTCCACAAAGATGGGGAGTGAATGAAACAAGAGAGAGGAGCAGTGGGGAAAACTGAGGGGCTGGTGCTCAGGACAATTAGTAATGGGGAGTTTTGGAAAATGAACCTGAAGATCCTGGAGGATGTATTGTTCCTGGAGGGGCCATGAGAGTCAAGAGGCTCTCAGGGCTCCGGGAACCCTGTGGGACGGGGCAAGTTTTCCCCATTCCTCAGCTTTATGGTTCTGAATATTTCCCCCAATAATAAAACTAAACACTTTAGCAGGAGGAGAAAACATCTTGTTAAAAAACTAAAATTGGTTTAAACCTTATTTTTAACCTGCACATTGTAGGTTTGAAATGATTTAGAGACCTTAGCTGGCTTTCCCTGAACTTTGACATCGGAAAAAAAATGAATTTCCCTTAGCTGTGGTTTCTAGCTGGGTTCAGAATTTTCCACATTCCTTTCATTACCAGCAAGATGGCAAAACCTCACTGGTTTCCAGGGCTTAATTTCTGGGGCAGATAAGATTGCAGAGACAGGGAGGACAAATTAAGAAAAACAGGGACATTTGCAGTATTCCTTTAGGGAGTGTCATTCCTTTGGGAGAGAGGAGTATTTACTTCCTTCGTTCCAAGAGGAAGCAGTGGACCAGGACAGCACCAACTCAAGCCACAGATTTGAACGTCTGAAAGCCATAGTGGTTTCTCCAAACATTGGCCAGGTTCTTTCAGGCTTCCTTTAACCATCTGCAGGTGGTGGGTCACCAGCTCCCCCTTGGAAGCCCTTTCTCTTGTTCTCTGGGCAGAATTTGCCTCCCTTCTGGTGGGCTACGGGTCAGAGCAGGGAGAAGTTTGTTAACAAAAACCAAAACAAAAACTCTGAATTTTGATGTTGCACAAAAGTAGCAGAAAGGCATAAACAACAGCACCAGAATGCAAGAGCGAAAAGATAAAACTTAAGAACAAGCACCTTGCAGAGAACTGTCATTTGGAGAGACTTGCAACAAGAGTAAACATAAGTGATCTAGAAAATGATTAAGGAGACTTCCTCTGTTTTTCAATAATTCCCTCCTAAGAATTTCTTAATTAACAGATCAGATTTGTTAGTTTACCCTCATTATTTAATTAATAATGTGTCAGATAGGAACCATTTCAAAAACAGTTCTGCAAGCTTGGCAGACAATGTGGATGGTAACCTATGTAGTTTGGCTTTAAGTTTAGAAATGCAGGCAACTGGATGTGCACAGAAATCATATTTCAGTTCTCAGAGGATATTTGCTCATTTTCTCAGACTTGTTATCATCTTAACTATTTTTAAAGAATTGTTTCATTTAAAGATGAAATGACTCTGGGTGGTCGCTTCTCTCTCTCTCTGCCCTTCTCATCCAATCTTTTTAAAGTATTTAGAAGTTAAAGATGTAGAAATGCACACTTTAGAGTTCTCTTCTCTGAGATCCTCTACAGTGACATGGAGAAAGCAAGGCAGTAATAGATTTCTAGCCTTTAGCAATATGTTCTTAGCTATCTTGTAGGTGTGCTTGTGGTAGATGACGTTTATTCAGGCTTATGGGTGAGTTGGGACCTTGAATTTTTAATCCATGATGATAGATATAAGCATCACAGGTTCAAACTAGTTGTAAAAATCAATTTGGGAGCTCAAGAAATTTCCAAATTTGTGTGGTTTGAAATGGATGTATATTTAATAAAACACATCAAGCTAGAAAAAAATCAACATCTTAGATAAAATATATTTCACATGTATCCTAGATGTCAACTATTCAGGTATTTAGTTCACATACTCATTTAGTTATTCAATTATAATGAATCAAATAGAAGATAAGAGATGATCAGTTTGATTAATTTATGATAGACATCTAGAAATTGTGCATATTTTGGGCCAGAGCTGATATACCATTAAATATTTATATTGTGAAATCTGTAGGTGGTTTTATCTAGCTGTGCTCAAGAGGACATATAGTAATTAATTGATGCCAATAAAGACGTAGCATATTGCCAAAACTATTCTTATTCAAGTGAGTATCACAACTTTTAATAGAGAAGAAAGGAGGAAATTTCTTTTATTATTGTTGGAAATAAGCTTTTACAGCAAGGTTATTTCTCTTAGAGCAAAAAGAAATTTAATAGTAGTAAAGGTGTAAAAAAACCTTAGTTTATAAGTGTATTTGAAAAATTAAGGTAACTGATTTATTCTTATGAGTATTTGCGAAAAATCTCAGCTGAAAATCATTTGCATGTGAAATTAACATTCATTAAAGGTAAAATGTGTTACCTGACACAGAAACTGTAAATTCTTTTAGATGACTCTGTAGTATATGTTAACCTATATGTTAATAATTTTCTTACTGGCTTAATTATGAAACGCCATCTGCCAGGATCGGTGAAACTTTATATTTTACTCTGCCTTGAAATTAAGGTGAAGAAGTAAATTCAGGTTTCAGGTGCTGGAGAGAGCACCCCAGACCTCCCCCACCCATTCTCTCTCCTGAAAGGTAATTCTTTCCCCCTAATTTATGTAGACACAGCTTATATTGTTTAAAAAATCCTCAACAGTTGTTTGCTATTAAATTCCATTCTCCTCTGCCTATGAAAAGTTACAGATGGCTTGTAGGCATGTGAATTTAACTATTAATTACCAAACTTGAGTTGGAATAGCTCAAATTTGTTCATATGAATGGCTAGGCCTTGCTAGAGTTGAGGTTCAAAGACCAGACATTCCCTAGTTGATGAGAAGTCGAGGCTTTCTTGGCATAGAGAAAGAAAGGGTCCTTCTTACCTCCATTTTGATTCACAATCTCTGATCAGATAAATTGTGCTCAGATTTCCAATGCCTATTGCCTCTGACATTAGGCCCTAATTACCTACTCCTGGCACAGACAATGGAGATTGTAGGGGATACTGAGCAGGGCTTGGGTTCCAGAGGGCTTTTGGAAGGGGCCAAGCCAAGCTTGACTCAGGAAGTGAGATTTAAGACCTGTTCCTATGGGCAGAGAAATTGTTCCTATAGATAGTCAGGTAAAAATTCTGGACTTTGAGAAGGGGTCCCCATCCTCTTTTTTGTAAAAGTTGTGAATTCAGAATTAAAGGAGGAGGGAGCTGTGAAGACATTAGAGGGGAGTGCAGGGCCCCTGGCAAGTGCCCGCACCTGAGAGGTGTGGCAACCACGTTCTCACCAGACTTCCAGGAGTCCCTTAATGTGATAACATGGGGAGCCAAGCGCCAGTGTTAATCAGTCACTCGGAGATGCCGATTCCCATAGGGAGCGCCGGCGTGGCAGGTACTCAGAACGTTGGGAGGGCTGGGGTCTCATTCTCTGACTTACTTGAAAGCAGGCTGGTGTGGTAGCAAGGGGTCAGGAGTAAGGTTTCTTC